TTTCCAAGGACTTTAACCGTTTGCTCTAAGATTCTTAATCCATTGGCATTTCCACCACATCACGCGAATCCATTTAGTGGTGATGAAATTTCATAATAAATGAACGGTTATGTCATCACGTTGACCTCAATTCTATCCAAAACACTTTTTGTTTTATTGTTGCTATTCATTTTTAGAAGAATTTAATTTATTTTCTTGATGTTTGTTAAAGATTTGCATACGTTTTCATACATTTTTAATTAACATATATATGTATGTATGTACGCAAAGAATGATTGAATTGATATAATCAATCTGGGTTTCAACATTCAACAATATTCATCATTTGGCGTCCACACACACACACACACACACTCACAAACACACGCACACATAAGTATATAAATATTCAAATGCGTACACGTTCACAAGTCTAATTTCCCTTACATTACACACACATTTTGAAACTAACTCATCACTTACACCCAATGAACACCCAATGAACACCCAATTTACAACCACACACACACATACACATATGTATTTATATATGCATATATTTGATGCGTTCTTAAACGTGAATATTACAAATTAAAGTCTCGATAGCCTTGAAGCGAATTGCTTGACTGATTTTTTAGAACAATTTATTTATTGGCGCCAATGGAGCTCAAACACATGCACACAAAATAAATACACGCATTTCGATGTGCGTGCTCGCACACATATGCACACACGCACATACACATGCACAACGCCATACGTAGATCTTGGAGGTTAGCTTCCTGATAAGCTGAGTTTTGTTCTAAATTCAAGAGGGTTAAAGTGCTTTCAATGTTTCTTTGTTTTAAATAGGAATAAAATATGTATGTACATATATATGTATGTAAATAAATTGAATTGGAACAATGCTAGAATATTGAATTTGGCAAAGAGCGAGTTGAAATTAAACAAAAAATACAATTAAATAATAAAAAAATAGAAATAGACATTTAGTATAGTTGTTTGTAATTTATAGCACTATCTACTGGATTAACTATTTACATATACATATACAAGTATACATATCACTGTTCCTGCCACCCAAACCGTATGAAGCCATCGTTTATAAATAAAATTCGCAAAATGTTTAATTTTAAGGTTATCAGAAAGAAGAAGAGGAAGAAATAATCATATTATGATACTAAGCGCTCTATCGCTTCCGGAAGTCGCAGTTCGTATTTTAAAAGTTTTCGGCAAACGAGAAAATTACTAGTATACAGACCAGACTAGATCAATCACCCATAGTAACATCCTCTCTGCCGCAGAGATTCACAAGTTAAAAGATTATTACTAATCACAATTCCATTAATGATAACGGAATCGAATGATAGATGATAATGTTAGATCTTCTTTTTGCCAATTGGCGATACCAAGTGCAACCACGTCCATCACCACCTGAACTTTCAAACGAAGGGAGGCTTTCCTCTTCTTCTTTTTCCACCACGGGGGGTTCTGAATCGTTTAGTTTCGAAGCTGAAAAGCTCTTTTTTTCATTCGGGTAAAATGATCTAGCCAGTTTAGCCGCTGTTGTTTTTGCTGTAGTTATCATAAAAAAATTCCACAAAGTAGTTTTTGTTGAATGTTGTGGGAGTGACAATCCTTAGTCGGATGAAATCCTGGCCGTTTAGGTAGAAAACCAGACTGTTGCATAAGTTTACGCTAGTAGAAAAGAATATTAACAAAAAAGGTCGTCCAAAAAGATCTAAAAAAAAGCGGTCTGGGAAAGAAACTTGAGCAGAGAAGTTGTTTTCGCGTTGTCGTGATGAAGAATCCAGATACGAGCGATGTCTGGGCTCACCCTGTTGACTCGTTTTCGCAATCTTTCGAGTACTAGGCGGTAGTAGACTTGATTTACGGTTTGCCTCGACTTCCACGCTTTCACACCCCTCCTTAAACTCTTTAAGCCATCGAAACACCTTGGCACGACTAAGAGAATTATCATCGTGCACTTTTACAATTTTAACGTACGTTTCAGAAGTTTCGACCAATTTTATCGCGACGCATTGCTCTTGATTTCGTTTTTCCATTTTCGTCACGAGCACCACGGCACAGCAGACGAACTGAACAAGCTAGAGCCATGGCACATATATAGTAATGGAGAGGAGAAGATGCCGGGAGAAGAGAAAGGGAATTTCAAGGTCGCAGGGTTACTACAATCGCGGCAATATAATCAGTCTCATTACTTAATTGTTACACCCTTATATGTAAGTATCCTTGTATTTGCCACACGTTAAAATATTAGCTCTTGCAAAAGTGCCGAAAGAGCTGGACTGCAACACTTTCAGTATGTGCTTCGGGAATCCGAAACAGAAATGAATGGGAAAACACCAATTTTTTCGATTAGGAAGCCAATAATCATCTTTACACTTCAAAAGCGACTATAAAATGTATTTTAGAAGCGATCTAAATAAACTCTCCACTAAATGCAGCACTGTCGTGGTCCGGGTACATGAACACAATGAAATCTCAGGAATTTACATGGCAGTCCAACTATAGAGAGTAGGAACTCTTCTATCCACATTGAAACAAGCAGATGATGGAGGTTTACCTATTGCCCACAACAAAGTATATGCTTTGACAAAGAAGCATAATCAAGATGGTTGCATGAGATCACGTGCAATTTGATCAGACAGCTAGGGCTTGCTTGGACGCGAAAAATCAAAACATCTTATCCTTCTAGACCGGTTCTCCGTTATAGTAGCGACAGACATAATAGCAGGCCACTGTTTAAGGGAACTTCACGGGAAAATATTGGCCTACCACACTAATGATTTTTGCTGTAGCTGTACAATTGTAGCAGAGGAAGAGTATACTGAAAACTATCTCTGTTACTGAGTAGCCTTGACATCTGCGTGGCACAAGTTCCTCGGGAAACACTTCTCCCACTGCCTCGGTGAGCTAGTTTCAGTGAAAGCTTGAAGTCTCGTTGCTTTTAAAATGCTCTCTAAATTGTTCGAACATTTAAGAAGATGAAGAGAGGAGCCTCACAATGAGAGCCTATTGGCCTAAGTGCGCTGTTTTATCAACTCAACTCATCGTTTTTCGCCACTTTTAGGCGAATAACAGTCAACTTCTATGCATTGTGATGAGATTTTGTACGAAAACAATGAAAAAGAGAATTATTTTCCTTTTGTAGAGCAATGTGATCAAAAAGACAAACAAACACAGGATATACCGAGTGCCCAATTGGGAGTTCAAGGAAAATGTGTCGAAATGCGGCATGCGCGTGGGGCAAGTATTGTATGCCGGAAAATTAGATTAAGTTTAATTAACATATTCAATCAAAACAAATTAAATATTTTATTTTCGTTTTTCTTTTTATTTTAAGTTTTATTTGCATTCGCTCGGCGGCAATTGAGCGAGCGCTGAATGCAAAACTAAACATAAACTTTGGTATAATTAGCTGTTTGTATATTTGTTTTAATCGTATGTATGTATGTATGTACATAAAATATAAAAATAAAAATTACCATATTTGTATGTATGTATGTATGTATGTATGTCTATAATACAATATATTGTATAACTACATAGTATTAATAAGCAACACGAAATAAAGACATAAAAAAGCAATACAAATGCGCTGTTTCTACTTATAAATTGAGACTATTCAATCGAAAATTAGAATCTAAATTAAAAACTAAAGTCTACTTGCGTTGAAGAAACTCAGTATTTGTTGCGTTGAATGAAGTTTTTGTGCTTATTATTATTATTATTATTAATTGTTAACAAATATTAATTAATTATTAATTACAATTATTATTTTTCATTTTTATTATTTTTCTTGCTTTGTTTTTTAATATTGCACTTTATACGGCCAAACAGCAAATAAAAAATAATAATAATAAAATAATCAACATTTTTAAAGTATTGAGTACACATATGTGAAATAAAATTATGTTTAAAATAAATGAAATTTCAATAAAATATTTTACAAACATCTAGCGTTGAAACTGCAGATTTCTGCTTTTGATATATTAAAATTAGAGACTAGACACTCTCGTCCGTTTTTCAACTGCATTTGGATACAAAAATCGGCGTAAAATTAAACATATTTTAATTTTTCAATTTTTTTTAAAATAGTTTATATACATATTATATATGAATAATATAAAACTTACTTACTAAAAGCATGTTTAATATTATTTTTTATTATTTTAATTTATTTTTTATTATTTTAATTATTATTTTTTGTTATAAATATACATATGTGTAATAATGTTTACAAACAAACTAATTTAATTGATAGAAAAAATTGATTTTGGTGCAAAAAGCTGTCTAAAGTTTTATACTAACATTTGTAAACATACATGTACATATGTATGTATGTATGTTTGATTCAGATCATTGTGTTGCCTACATTATTTTATACGCTTTTAAGCAAATAAATATTTTATGGAAAGCAAACTCAACGCATATGCTGCATAAAATACTGTATTGTTTCGTTTGAAATAAAATTTCGCAAGCAAAAAATTGAAATAAAATAAATAATAATAGATTTAGATATTATATATTACAAATTGTCATTAAAAAAATAATAATAATATGTATATTTTATAATATAAATTTTGTATTTTAATTTCGTTCCAATTTCAATGATTTGTTTTATGTTTTTTTTATCTTAATTTAATTTAACTTCGCTTTGAGTTTTAATTTTTTTTTTCATTTTATTTCAAAATTTTTATTTAATTCTAGCTGCGTAAGAATTATTAAAATTCTACTTTGTGATCTCTGAAATTTTAAATTGCTCGAGTCGAGTTTATGTTGCTAATTTGGAATTTAAAAAATATATTTACATACGAGGTATGTTCAAAAAATATCGCGAATTTTGCGTTTTTTCAAAAGTTATTTATTTATTCATGAATATCTATTTTGTCCCCTTCAAAGTAATCCCCGCGAGAATTCAAAATTCACGATACTTTTTGAACATACCTCGTACATATATTCGCAATATATTAAAATATTGTTTTTGTTTAAAATCAATGGGATATTTGCACTTCGATTACACAAACAAATAATATTCTAAATAAGTTTCATATATACGTATGTAGATTTCCTGTGTACAATACATCTCACATGTACTTACATAGATAATTAATAATTAATTAAATAAGCAATGTCTGTTACAATCTTAGTCAGAAGTTATGTAATTTGCAACATTTTGCATATTGTTTAGCACATAATGTTTAAACAGCTACAACTATTTTTTATTTTTTTTTCATAATTATCACAATCAGTTTTCTACTAAACGACCAGTGCATAAGTTTTTTTATACAATTTTTTTTTCTTTATTTACACCCACAACTTCAAATGTTTTCCTTGTTCTAAGTAAAAGTTTTTCATAAACAAATAAAAAAAAATTATGTTAGTTCACAAAAATTATACGAAGGTTAAGTAGACTGGACTAAAGCGCTACATTTTTCTATAGCAATTCCAATTACAACGAAAGATTAGAGAATTTTTTCCTCAATTTCAGCAAAGATTTTTTTTAGAAAGTGCTTGGTTTACTAACTTCAAACGTTGTCACAGAGACATCGTAGGCGAAGAATGCACTGGACGTCCACCCTTGGCACGATGCTTAGTAAGTGAAAATGAAACAACAATCAAGGATAACAAAGAGAAAGCTCCAGCCTGTCTCACACAATTGAAAAACAAGCAGAGAACCGAACGGTTCATAGACGTACCACTGATCACCAAAAGGTTGCAATTCTTGAGTTGTGAAAATACAAAAACACAAGCGCTAGATGGATGTCCCTATAAGGTCCCAAAAATTGCACGAAGCTCTTTACCCGCAGTTGGGGAGATTTTCTCTTTCCGAAATTATGATAAATTTTGCCCTCTGCATTCTGCATACGCCTAAAAAGTTATTAGAACGATTTATCTGCGTACGACTAGAGCGACATCTAGAACAAGAGCCCCATAATTCGCCGAAAATCAATAATAATGTTTTTAACTCTTCCTGTTGGTCACATATAATAAGCGCGCGACATGTGAACAACGCGCTATTAGCTAAGAGTTATCTCTAAATACCTAAACTGTTACTATATGACGCTGATGTTGTTGTAGCGTTTCGCTAACCCAACTTAGGAGCAGTTAGTCTATGGGACCGAGGTCATCTCACGTGTGGTTCAGGAAACAAGCTGTTTCCACGGGCTCGGCCCACAAGCAATGGGGTTAGATGAGTTGGTTTTAGAGGGCATGCAAAGAGGTGGTTAGTATCGTGCGTGGCCACATTGCATGCAGGACATACGTTGGGTATGTCGATGTCAAATTTTGGAGTCTACTAGAATATCAAATTCTAACTTGCGCCAATCTAAGTAGCTTGAGCTTTTCGTTTGCAATGCTTAGGTTCCGAGAACGTCATTCACTGGCAGAGCACAGCCGATTCTCACATCATAATTAACCCAGATTTTATTACCCTTTCGGCGACCAAACTCCTTTTAGGTCAGCAGGTAAGTATATGACGCTGGTGATGGGTGGTGTACCACAAAACTAGTTAGAACGCCTATGGGTCGCAAAAGAACGATAAATCCAGAAGCTTTGGATGATGGCTCACAAGAGAAGAGCGAAACGGTTATAGGCTAAAAAGCCTACAGCCGGTACTTGTATACCCTGAACGTGCTGACTTCCATGAAAGATCATCCTTTCGAGAAAAATAGGCAGCTAAAAGAAGGGAAGTTGTATGAGTTAAATGGAATCGTAAAGATATTAAAAGCACGTGTTGCCTTTATATTGCTTTAGGAAGGCTGTGTTCAAACTGTTTACCCCGTTTGCTCGTTGGATGTATCACTTCATTCCGAAATCAAAGCGATTGTCAACTGAGTGATCAACAACTGTTGAGCCTCATCCAAAGCGCTCGAAAGCATGCCAATCAGTTATGAGCTTGTGTTTCGGTTGTGCGTGATGTAAACGAACACCTTGAGAGGGAAGTACCAACAACTGAGTGTTCTGCTTGATCAAGAGCACACCCACCGTGTCACAAGTCAATCAAAACAACGGCAAAACTACATAAAGTAAGCTTCCAATTGCTCCCATATTCACCGCATTTAGGGCCCAGGTACTAATGGCTCCTGTCAGAAATGCTCACCAATAACAAATTTCATTTGAATGAAGAGCTTATAGCTGAAACTGAAGCAAATTTCGAGATAAAAGTGGTATTGAAATGATGTTAGAGATGCGCTGGTGTTGAGTCTCTTTGATAAATAAGTCCAATTTAAAAATTGCGTTTTCCATGTTAGACCCGGAAGTACTTAACCACAAAATACCATTTTACTCAGAACATTGTTAACATTTGACTCTGCATGAGTATTTATCATAAAAATCAGATAATAATTGGCGTTCAAACTCAAACCGTCAATTCAATTCAATTCATTCACGTCATTTCCTTGAATACTAATTACATCGAACTCAAGCATATCTGCGACGTAATACCTTCAGCTTCCAAGCATACAAACAGTCTAAAATTTTCAAATTTTCATTTTGTCTTTTTGAACTATTAAAGTCGGTTACCATGCCACCGCTCAGTTTAGGCCAGTATAGCATAGTTACTGGTCAACTCGAAGGGGCTCGTCTTTATCGAATGTGTGAAATTATTTTTGGGTGAAAAATCAACCGGTTGTTCTTGAGTTTGTCCTTGAAACTGAGTCTTGAAATCGCTATTTAATATTGGCACATGTACAGCAGCCTCGCCCAGAACCTGGGTACCACTCATCTGCTCACGATAGACTAGATCATTTGATGACGCTGATTGGATGACACTGATGCGTTTGAAATGTTCATATTCCTCCTGGGTCATGGGACTTGTAAGCATGGTGTATGACTTCTCCGACACTGGATTCGCTTTATTTGTGCCGCTATTGTCGGTTAGCGTCAATATTGTGGTAATTTCGAATGGTTTCTGTATTGGTTCCGGCGTGAAGTCGGCATAGGCGTGTGAGCTAACTTGACGGCGTTCTTTTTCTTTCTGCAACAATTTTGTAGCCAACGTCGACTTGGCCGAATCCGATAGCGGCTGTGTGTCCACAGTTTTGCTGTGATGTGGCATAGGGTTTGTGGTTGTGGTTGTGTGTGTTGAATGTCGATTTGCGCGCGACGCCTCACTACGTTCAGCTGTACGCTGATGATTTTTCATGCACGAAGATTCTTCGTGTTTGTAGAGATAGGATTTCAGCGCGAAGGCCTTACCGCAGCGACCGCAGGTATGTGGCTTTGTATTAGAGTGGGTCTGTATGTGCGCACGAAGATTGGATTTATCCGCGAATGCTTTGTCGCAAACGTTGCATTTGAAGGGCTTCTCGCCTAAGTTGAGAAAGGAAAAAGGGAAGATGGAAAAAGAATCAGTCCAGTTAATAATATAATATGTATATGTATAATATATTTTACAGTTGTCCAACACTTACCGGTATGCGTGCGTATGTGTCCCTGCAGCAGCCATGGTCGAGAGAAACATTTACCGCAATACTGGCACTCACAGCCCTGATTGTGCGTACGCACGTGCATACTGAAGGCGGGCATTGAGACGTAGACCTTCTCACAGTACGGGCATCGTCGTGCTTTTTTGTCCATTATTGACCTTTTGGAGTTAATATAAAGAAAACAGTTATTTACAAAAATTTATGGAATTTCATTCGATTATTCGATTCTACCTGTGCGTTTGTCGATGTCGTGCTAAATTGGACGATGTCGAATACTTCTTGCCGCATTCTGGACATATGTGTTCATCTTCGAGCAAATTACCAACACTGGCACTACCCTCAGCCCCATCACTCAACTTGCTGCCCTCTGAGTTACACGAATTACCTGAGGAACCCATGAAATGTTCGTCGCTACTGCAACTTGGCAAACTGCTGCAGGAATGCTCATCATAGCGCGAATGATCGGAGATTGTAGACCGACGCAATTTCTTACGATCGAAAACTTTGTGACTATAGTAATTAGAATCATCATCCGAAGACGAGTAGAATGTTGTTCTCTGCACCGTTAGTGATGTTTTATAGTTTTGCTGTTCTTTTTGTTGGCTATGAAATGTTTCGTGCTCATATTGTTTGCTTGAGGTGTTGCAGTCTTCGCTGTTATGCCACAAGCCACTGTTAAACTCATTGTTTGTATTTGTTGTAGATGCCATCAGCACGTTGTCTTCTGACGTTTGGTTGTCGTGTGTGGTTGCAGATACCGGCGTCTCTTCAGTTATGTAGTCCAATGAAGTATGACGTTTAATGTAGTCTTTAATTTCTGCTATATTGGTTGTGCTAAGTCTTCCGGCGGCCAGCGTGACCTCAGCGAGTTGAGTGAGGTTATACAACTCCTCTGGTATCGCGGTTGCTTGTTCCTTCGTCATCCTGATGGAGTATTGTAGTAGGTTAGTCCTGTTTGAGAAATGAACATGTATGTATGTATATCATTAACTCTTTCACGAAATTATGTTTAAAATAGATGAAATAGATGTATATATGTACTGGGCACAATTGAAAATATAATGATCCAATAAAAAATTATATAATTGGCGCTCTCTAACAGCTAAAGCAATTTTCGACCGAGCTCTTACTCCAACTTGTGGTTTTAGGTCTTGATGTTTGCCGAACAAAAGGAGGGGCCTACAGCTTACACTAAACCGCCTCCGAACGGTTGATAGTTTACCAGGAGGAGCTTTATTTCATGTCAGAAATACACTCGGAGGGCTTGGCATTCCCTGTGAGAGGCGGCCACAGTTAGCTTATTTTTTTATTTAAATTAATTTTCTATAACTTTTTGAGCTCGGCTACCGCGGCCTTTCTCAGGGAGTAAACTGTCTACGACGGCAGCCGTAGTAGTCAGGTAGTCAGATGAACCGACCAAAATCCAAACTTAAAAAAGTCGCTGCGCAGACGCCAATCCTTAGTCAGGGAGCATAGATCGGAAGACGCAAACAGATCAGATAGTCAGATATCTGATCTGGACCTTATGAAGATCGGATGCATTCATCGAGTCGTTTGTTATGTTGGTATGCAAATAACAGGAAGCATTTAGCCAGCGCCCAACGTTATGCAAGGATTTACGCTCCTCGCGGAGAGACCCACATTCGATCAACACGGAGTTGACGAATTATCAGTGGCAGAGCGCATAGAGGTAAATAACTCCTTACCTGCGATCACATCATACATTTGCACTCTAATATATATGTAGGTATGTAGATCATTAGAATATATGTATAAGTCACATGGAAATTTGTGTTTTCTTCAAATACATATATCTTTCATCATCGATTTCATATTATTTTGAAGAAAACCGTACAGACATACACCACATGGGGTGCTCAGCAAGCGCACAACTGTATGAGTGGCCACAAGCAAAGCAATTTGAATTTCACAATATCTACTTACTCATGTGAATGTACTCTTGCATAAAATTTATATAATATATGTATGTATGTATGAACGAACAAAATACATATGTACATAAAGGCTAGTAGTGCTGATGAACCCCCCTAAAGTTTATGCGATTACATGTCCAAAGTAAAGACTTTTCTATTTATTCAATTCATTCCCGACCACAGTCACACTTTGCCACTTTGGCTAGTGCCACGCGGCCCATATGTACATGCATATGTATGCATGTATGTATGTATATATGTGTTCCTCTCGCCTTCATCCGAATCACTGCCAAAATTGCTAAGTGGAACATTTTGTTTTTGTGCGCAATCAAAAATTCACATGAAGCGCATGACGCAGTCAACTGAGTTCAGCTGTTCTATCGATGCTTTACTTATTGCTCGACGAGAGATGCTCAGATACTTGTACATAGGTGAAACAACCTGCTAAATACGAAAAGTGCGTCATTTTTCTTTAGACGCTCATAATTTAATGAGTTGAATTGGGGCCAAATTGACGAGAAGACGACAAACGAAAAAAAAAAATTATAATAAATAAATAAAAAATTAGAAAAGAAAGCGCGCGACAATACGTCAAGAGGCAGAGAACCAAACATTTGATTTTCTGGGAGAAAGGTCTTTTCGCCGACACGGTGGAGAGTGTGCGGAACACCAAACAAAATAAGAAAGTGAGTGCTAAGTTCGAGTGGGAACTAATCGTATGCTGGGTTATGGAGATATATGTGACTTATTATCTAAAAGGAATGATTGGTTTTATGCTTTGGCCCTACCTTCACCTCGAAGACCTCACAAGAAGTTGTGTAAGATTTTCAAAAGACTCATATTCATATGCATGTCCTCCCGATTCTACCACACATTGATAATATTAGGTTGCCTATTGGAGCCAGTAAGTACGGACTACCACATAACCTTAACACGGTAGTTATTCCGGATGGATACCAATGTGGCAATATAGTAACAGCTTATTTTTACTCGGATGAATCAAAAGTACATATCAAGGTCTGCCGTGAAATCCACACAAAGTAGCTTCGTTTTAAAAAGTCTTTCCGCTTGTCTGTTCACATGAAACTCCCAATTGTCCCGATTCAATCCCACTCTCAGCAAAACTGTTACTATATCTTTCCAGGGTCGCCCGGTAGCAATAAGAGATTCGAAATTTGTAGCGTTAAGATCAAAAAAGTAACAGAATTGTCGCAGATCGTTTAGGGTGATGGCTAAGCAGTTTTCCCTAAGCCTAGAAAGGGTACCAGGCAAAAGTAACATATGCGAGGAAAGTCACTTCTCTTCCACTTTCGCCATAATAAGAGAGTCTGAGCATGGCGCTCTCTGTTTGCAAGCTTACTATACTCAAGATGAACGCTAGATGAACAATTGTTGCAATCTGATTATGATGATGCATCCGATATGGAACAATAAATGATAAGAGAGCTTATTTCGTTTAAAAGAAAATATATATCCACAAAATATGGATCTTCTGATGAGACATCTTCTTTTCTATTGAGGACGCATGAAAATAGTTTGGATGTCATATTAATAGGATACTGCTGGAGTTGTAGAGAGTATGAGGTACTTGAAGCTTGAAGGCACTTCCGTTTGAGAGTTAAGCGCATTTTGGAGAAGGTATGTAAGAGCGGAAACTTTTTGAGACTTGAGTAAAATAACAGGTGCGAGAATACGTCGACTGCGACAAGCTTCTCAAACACCAAGCGGGTGGGGCTACTAGTGTTCTCAGTGGTATCAAAATAATACCGTTTGGTGAACTCAGTGAGCTGATATCCCGCACGAGCTTCAGTCTGAGCAAACCAGTTTGTTAATTTGAACTTGAACATGACAAACAGGATTGTAGACGTAATCAAATTTCTTAAAGTTCATTATATTATTTTACAAATTACCGTTAAATGTACAAAATTAATAAAACTTATACTGTACTGTATAGCTGGGTATAAAATACCCCATGCGCGCAACCAAATTTTCACACATTCATAAATAAACAAATTTGTATGAATGTCTATAACATTGTATAAATACGTGTTGTGGTCCTAAGCCAATTTAATGCTTATAAATAATTTGTAATTAAATAAAAAGATTTTTTTTTAAGAACTGCAGTCATTTTGCTGCTGAAAGGAACTAATATAGATTCGTGGAAATTTTACTTCCGACACGTTTAATATAAATATAAATAGAAATAAAAAGCAATGATAATTCGCCACTTAATGAAAATCTGTAGGCCGTGGCGGAAAAACATACATACATACAAATATATATAAATAATACATTTGTATATTTATACATGTATAAATTTAACCTGAAGCTATAGGTAAATACGAAATAATTGATAATGAAGTCTTGGGTGGATTTTTTTTTAATTCTCTTATTGAATATTGAATTTTATTAAGTACATATTGACCAATATGAACTATAACTTTTTGGCTTTTTTTTGGATAGTCTCATAGTTACAGTCTGTCGTTCGCCGTCCAAAGGATTTTCAACTGCTCTTCGGTCAACCAGATTTTCACCATCAAGTGAGCTTAGCAGACACAGCAAAAAATGGTATGCAGATGGTGCGAGGTGCGAAGCGCGTTGTTGGATGCACCAAAACTTTCCAACTCAGCTGCATTCATTTTCGGCTGGACACCAAAGAAGTATGTATGTGGTCTGATCTTGCCATGAACACCTTTATTGATCGATTCTGTACGCTGTACTGGCGAGCTTGTTGTAAACTGATTCATTGTTGCAGTTAGCGCCCGGAATGGATGAACATAGCGAGGTTGTTCCACCAAACGCTTAGCATTATTTTGTTTGTTATTGATTCAGGTTTTAAAATCTTTTATTGAGGTTCACCGTCCTTTGGCTAGTTATTATTATTATTATTTTTTTCATTTTATAAACTTATTTTTCATCGAGCGTGATGAGTCGCCTCGGAGTGTTTCGATTTTGTTGCGTTTCAGAAACGTTTGACTGTTGGTAATTTGGTATTTTTAATTTGTTTGTGTTAATTCATGTGGTACTTAAAGATAGAGCTGCTTTGAGTAGTCAGCTTTTTTTTAAATTATTCCAAACTGTCATGTGCGTGTTGAATAAGGCCAGTGACGGAATTTCATCAGCTTTGAAGGACTTGGTTGACCAGAGCGAAGTACAAAATCAAAATATCCGGAATGCAATCGAGCAAACCGATAATGGAATCAACTTTAACTTATAGTATTCAACCTAGACCTTACAGACTTTCGGTATGTTTTTGCTGCGCTTTTAACTGTTCAAACCTTTTGTAAACATAAAATGATCTACTTTGGTCCGAGGTATGTAAATAATACAAAAAGAAGAGTTAGACCCATTAAAATATTGTATATACCGATATTATCCAATTGACGATCTGAGTTAAGCTAGCCGACCAGATAAGACTACCTATCCCACCAAACAATTGCAGATTCCATCGAAAATCACCTTAGAGCGTGCGTTCTGGTATTCTACACACTTAAATTCGAATAACTATTGCATGTGAAAATCATCGAAATGGGAATATTTTATCATATATTGAGTACTTCTAAATTTAGACTTATGTACATACAGAAATGTCCACAAGTACAAAGAGTAACCTTGCCCAATTTATATTTATTTAAATATTAAATATTTTTATCATTTATTCTTATTTCGAATTTATTTTTAATAAACATATACTACGAGCAAATTACCCAGAGACTTTGGCACAGATTGGCATACCTGTTCGATTTCACTGTAAATAAATTTTGAAAAATATAAATTTTGTTTACTTACATGTACGAGGGAATCAACAAAAGTTCGGTCAGTTGTTGACTTTCAATTTGATTTTGTTAATTTTAAAAATACCAAATCCTTTGCAATTATATTAGTTTTCATTTCAAATTCTAGAACACTCGGCTAAAAAGGAGACGAAAAACACAAGATAGCTGAGGATAGGTCTGACGGTATTCCACTATCAGCACAAATAGAAATTCGCCAGCCAATACAAATATTCAATGAATT